GGGCAACCACAGGTGAAGCAAGGAAGAATCATGAAGGAGGATAAAAGTGAAAAAGTAACATAACAGCTAAGCTAAATAACAGCTTATTTCCAGCAGATGTAAATGCAAGCTTCTAGGATTGTAAAAAGGTCTAAAAACTTGTTGCCAGATTCTAAAATTTATAGTATACAGAAAGAATTGAGTATAAAATGAACAAGGCTTTACCTCATTTTAGTTGGGACAAACCTTCAGAATGCAAGAGAGAGAAAAACATCCTTGAAAAAAATGGAGTGAACAGAAGATGTATTGAGGGAAAAAAAAAAAAAGAATCCAAAGCACACTTACTGCTGTAACCTTGGACTTTATGCTTTGCCAGAAGGTTTTAACATCGTAAGGGTTGTTGATGGACAGAGTGTTCCACACCCGGATCATGCTGTCCCCCACCCCGATGGCGAGGCAGCCTGTGTCCACGGGGGAGAAGGCAAGGCTGTAGACAAACCCTCCAAGGGAGGGCAAGGTCCAGCTGCAATCCAGAGTAGACAGATCCCAGCATTTCACCTGAAGAATATTCGAGGAAAAAGGAATGGTTAAATACAGAGTGATTGACAAGAAAAAACAAAGCAGAAGTGAAATGAAGACTCAAAGGGTGAAATGCAAGGCTTGGCAGGATGTGATCTGCACCCAGAGGATTCCCTGTCACAGACAGGGATGCAGTAGCTGCAAGACTGGAATGGACATAATGAACTTATTTTACTAAGTTTCTCTCCCAGTTTCAAAACAGGAGACACTCTGCTGCCTGTAAAAGACTAAAGACTGAAAAAAAGACCTGTAAAAATATATGTATTAGTTTCTACAATTACATTATGTTAAGAAGGAAAATCAGGCTTTTTAAAAGTGAAATATAGAGGAAAAGAAGTGGAAAACATCTTTCATTAAATGCTTACTATTCAAGTCCAGAATGTCACAAGCATTCACTCTGCCATGGTAAGAGACTGAGCTTATAAGCTAACAGAAACATACACTACCTGTGCTCAGAAAAATGGTAGGAAGGGATGTCATAAAATGCTAAAATAAACCCATTTCTGGAGAAAAACTGTGGCCTAAAAGGATTAGTCTCATTCAGTCGAACTGCATTGTAGAGGCATTCCTATGCTAATTTTTAAATGGTTCTTACATCTCTGTCCATTGAAATGGAAAAAAGGAGCTCTCTGTCTTGGTGCTTCACAGAACTGAGATTGAACACAATTCGGGAGTGGTTTTGTCCTTCTGAAGATCCCAGAAGAGTCCACTTGCGTTTGCCAGGCTGGGCCAAATTCCAAAGGAGCAGCTCTCCTCTGCAAAATTGAAATTCAGTTAAGTTTTTCAGAAGAACTACACAGTGTTCTATATAGGATATAGACTATATGAAAAACATACTGCATATTTACAGGAGTAATAGATTCTGCAGACATCTGTAAAAAGCTACACACTCAAACTCCACCTGAAAACTGCCATTTTTTCCCAGTAGACGGACAAAATAACAATTAGTGCTATTAGCAGTCAATACTCAGTTAGATTGCTGGACAAATTATGGGGCAAATAGTAATCTTCTCAAAGTCTGAACTCTAGGCCTGTGTTCTCCTGTAAAGGGAGGAAGAAGGGGGGGTTTTTCTACTCAGCATTTCCTTCAGCAGGAACAAATGACTCTGTTGCTGGGTGTCCCACTTACCCAAAGGCACTGGAGATGATGTCTGAGGGGTGGCCAGCAGGCCACAGGACGGTCAGCCAGATGCGCTCCTTGACCGCCGGGTCCACGGCCCCTCCTCTCCTCCTGGTGGGCGGCAGCTTCAGAGTCATCACACCTGCAGGAGCAGGAGGCATCACTGCACCTCACACAGGGAAATCCTCAGGGTCTTAGGTTGGAAATGCAAGATGTGGCTGAGTGTGTGTTCTACTGCCATCTGTCAGAGGTGGGGCAGTTATCCTCTGCTGACTGGGCACTTTTCTTTACCTCTTCCACAACCAATTCTCCCTCTGGAAAATATCTTCTGTTCATGCACAGTGTCACTACACAGCTGATAAAATTCCATCATCCCACTGGGAGATGCTCTGCCCAGGGGGAGGAGCCAAGCATTCCTGCCTGGCTAGAATCTGAGGTTTGGAAGACCACAGCAGCCTTTTGCACTGGATTCCCAGAGGAGCAGCCCTTTCCCACTGGATTCCAAGGAAGAGCAGGCCCATCTACAGCACCCCTGGACCTTCAGAGCAAAACTCCACTGTTCTCCAGGATCCCTGCTCCAGCAGAACCACAGCTGGCACTGCAGGAGGGCTGAGCCACCATTTAATGGGACTGTGCCACCACCCTGACCCACAGGGTGCCAGGTCCTGTTCTGACTCTGGCAGTGTTGTTTTGTATTACAGCATTTTAATTTTTTTCCTATTAAAGAACTGTTATTCATACTCCTATATCTCTGCCTGAGAGCCCCTTAATTTCAAAATTATAATAATTCAGAGGGAGGGGCTTTGCATTTTCCATTTCCAGGGAGGCTCCTGCCTTCCTTAGAGGACACCTCTCTTTTCAAACCTACACAAACAGATAGAGGAGTCCTGTGAATCTGCAGCTTTAATTACATTCCCCATGCCTTCAGCACACAAAGGCAATTTGCAGTTCAGGAATTATTTCACCTTGTTCTTTTTTATCTCTTACTTACTCCTGCCTCTGGTACAGCTCCATATCCGTATGGTTTGATCCTTGCTTCCAGAGGCCAGGTAACAACCCTTCCTCGTGGCTGTGTCCTGTGTCAGCTCCCCGTTTGGAACCTTGCCTTCTTCTGAAGGAGCTGCTGAACACCATTGAAGTCATGTTATTATGCTTTAAAAATCAAAGCTTCATAAAAATGAGCTGAAAATTATACTGATTTGTATCAGAACATATTTTGTTGAACTTATCAGTTACTTAGCTAACTACTAACCTTCTGTAAAAAATTCAGTGCTCTAGAAGGACAATTACATGAACTAGAAGTTACTCCACAAGTTGTTAATCATGTTCACCTACCCTGGAGCTCATCCTGCCAAGCAGGTAACCTTTCTTCCCCAGGCACAGGGCACCAGGCCAGACAATGGATTTCATCCTCGTGGCCTCTCAGCCTGTGCACAACTTCTCTCTTCCTGCTGATATCAATTATCACCACCATGCCATCCTTGTAGCTGAAAGCAGAGATTTAAATTAATGAAGGGATTCTTGGATGCTTGTGGAATAATATCCAAGGTGATTTACAAGCTCTTTCCAGGGTCACTATTACCCTATTACAGAGCAGCCAGGCTGGATTGTTACATTTTAACAGATTTCTTTGCCTTTGCAGGTTTATCAAATCTAGATGTTATTTCTAATTTGTTTTACTCCAAAACTGAAAGAACAGCCACCAAGACCTCTTAAAATTTACCTTTCAACCATGTAGCAAAAACTCACAATTAAATTCTTGCAGAAGAGGAGTGGAAAACAAAACACAAGGAAAACAAAACATGAAGTAAAGAGCATTTACCCAATGGCCACCAGGTTTTCATGATGAGGAGAACAGGTGAGGCAGAACACTGTCCTGGGCTCTGGGAAGAACTGCTGGCTGTCATTTCTGTTGTGCCAGTAACAAACAATGACACCTTTCTCATCACCAGTCACAATGAGATCTTTCACAAGAGGGGACCAGTGCAGTGCAGAGATGGCATTCTGAAGAGAGAGCATTGGAAAGGTTTAGAGCTGTTTCACTGCCACCTAACACAGAGGAACAGGCAGGAAATCATCTGTGAGCAGTGACCAGCTGTTGTTTGGATTTTTTAAAGTTTTTTTAAAGCTTTTTGATGTTTATGTTTTTGTAATGAATTTTCTCACACACTTTATGTAAATAACTTATTGTTTTGTATTCTTTTACAGAAGAAGAGAAATTTGATAGATTGTTGGTTTGTCCGGTGTCACTGGAGAGGTGGCACTGTCACCCTCCAATCCACCGTCACTTTTAGAAATCTATAAATGTTAGAGTCAGAAATTAAAACCGCCTTTTTTACTTCAAAAGAGGAGCGTGTCCGCGCCGTGTTCTTTCGTGTCCCACAGCAACACCCAGCAGCACTGTGGATTGTCCCTGTTCTTTCAGGCTTCAGAGGATAGATGGAGCTGCTGGTGTGCGCTCCTGAGCCGCAGTAACTCTTTAAACACACACTCAGCGTGCCCTGCGGCCACAGCAATCTGCTGAGCTGCCTTCAGGCGAGCTGGGCTAAGCGGCAGCGAGTCCAAGCCACGGGCTGGGTGCTGCTCTGTGCCAGCAGCCGGGGACGAACAGCGCTGCGGGCTGCCAACCACGAGCACCGGGCAGGTTAACCACGCCGCCTCTAAAACTCACTTTAGGGCTGAGCAGCCTCGCCGTGCTCCGTGAGCGAGCCCCGAGCCACCCCGTGCCCATGTCCGTGTCCCCACCTGGTGCAGGCTGTACTCCAGCACCGGCGACAGTGTCCCGCTGTCCCAGACTTTGACGCTCCCATCGTCCGAGCTGCTGGCGCAGAGGCCGCAGTGCCCGGGGCAGCGGCAGAAGGCGAAGGCGGAGATCCTGTCCGTGTGCCCGAGGAGCTCCCCTGCGGCCACAGCACACACCGTCACGGCCCGCCGAGCCCCCGCGTCCCCCCCGGGCTCCCGGTGGCGGGGAGGCCCCGCAGGCCCCGCACAGGGCCGGGGAAGGTTGTGACGGTACCGTAAAACGTGGGCGCGGCGGCGGCGACATCCAGCAGGCAGACGCGGTGCCTCGCCGCGAAGCCGAAGAGGCGGCCGTCGCTGCTGGTATCGCTGCAGCGGCTGCTGTACCAGTTGGGGGAGGCGGGCAGCGCCCGCACCCCCATCCCTGTTCCCGTTCCCATCCCCATTTCCATGCCCGTCCCCGCCGCCATCGCCCCGGGTCCCCCCGCGCCGCCCCACGTGCTCCAGGCGTTGCCGCCGAGCGCCGCGCACGCCGCCGCAAACTGTCGCAAACCGCGCCCTTGCCAGTGCGCCCGCCCCGGGCGCTGCCGCAAAGCGAGGCCGGGAAGATGGCGGCGCGCTGGGCGCTGAGCGCGGGTGAGGCTGAGGGGACGCCGCGCTGGTTTGGGAGGGTTTCACTGGGGAGGAGGCCACGGGGTGATCGGAGGGACGATCATACGAGGAAAGGCTGGGAGAACTGGGTTGTTCATCGTGGAGAAAACAGGCCTCGGGGTGACCAAGTTGCAGCTTTTCAGTGCCTGAAGGGAGCGTCCGGGAATGATGGAGTGAGAGTGTTTACAAGCGCCTGGAGTGACAGGATGAGGGGAACGGCCTCACACTGGCAGCCAGTAGCTTTAGGTTAGATATTATGAAAACATTCTTCCCTGTGAGGGTGCTGAAGCCCTTGCACAGATTGCTCAGAGCAGCTGTGGCTGCTCCTGGATCCCTGGAAGTGTCCAAGCCAGGCTGGATGGGGCTCGGAGCAACCTGGGGTAGTGGGAGGTGTCCTGCCCATGGCGAGGGGTGGGGCTGGATGGTCTTCGAGGTCCTTTCCATCTCAAACCATGCTATGATTTTACCATTCTTTTCATACCTCCCTCACTTTCCCTTCAGGTGCTGCCTGGGCACGGGGTCTCCTCAGCTGGGCACGGCCAGAGAGGTGAGTGTGGCCCTGTCACCCCGGTGTGACAGGCACTGCCCTGCTTGGGCACCTGGGGCTGGGCTCTGGGGTCCCCTGGCTTGGCCATCTCACCCACCCTGGAGCTCTGGTCACTCTCTGCCCCCGTGGTGTCTTTCTGAGTATTCAGAGCTTGTGCCATGATGGAGGTGTCTCTCTCCTCACTTCCTTCTGTTGGACACCCATATTGTCTCTGGCAGGTGACAGAAATGTGGTGTCTGTGCTGTCCCCAGTCACTGCTTTCCTCACTTGCTGAAGTTTCCCCTCCTTCTGCAGGAATCCCAGAGCTGTGCTGCAGGAGCACTGAAACTGCCAGCTGTGTCCCTGCAAATACCTGAAAAAATACTCCATGACATTGAAATATGTGTGTTGTGCTGATCTCTGCTCACATATTATTGTGGGCACTGTGTACAATGCCCTTCTGGCATACTGTCTTTGCCTGTTGTTTTTAAGGTTGGCCACACACACAAAGATGTTCAAGGCTCAGGAAAAAGCACAATCTTTGGTCTTGAACTCATTTACTGTAGTCACCAGTGGCTGCCCACTGCTGCTTTATCCAGGCAGAATCTGGTTTTTCAGAATCTGAGGTGAGCAAACTGCCTGAAAATTGATTTTATTGCTATCAGCTGTCTGGTTTTTGGATTGACCTGATTGTGTTTTGGAGGTGGTTTAGAACACCTCTCTTCTCAAATTTCACAATGTTTATAAACCTCTAATGCTCTGAGGTACTCAGCCCCTTGACAAACTAACAATTTTCACTGCTAAATGTGTTGTTGGTAAAAGTTAAATAAGTATGGAAAGTACTTTGGGGAAGGTACAGGAGTCCTGAGCCCGACAAGAGCATCAAACAGAGGTGGCTGTGACTTTGTGTGATAGTCTGAGGACATTTAATGTGGAATCTCATACCAACATTCATGGTTTGCTTTGAGAAGCTTGAGTCTTGCTGAGTTAAAAAGCCTTTTGAGCATAAGCTATAAAGGATTCAACAGTTTGGTTTTTTGGGTATACAAATGTGCTGGTTCTCTTTTTCAAGACAGCAAGTTCATAATTTTCCAGATAAACTGGGCAGGGACAAAGAACTCTTGTGTTCAGCAAGAACTTGTGGTCCTGCCTTGCAGGTTTCTGGCATCTGGGAGCCTTTTTCCTCTGTCCTGCATCCACACCAGCACATCTCTGCAGAAAATTGGGAAGTGGGAGAAGAAGAACAGGATTGTTTACCCTCCCCAGCTGCCTGGAGAGCCTCGCAGACCAGCTGTAAGGATGCCCCTGTGCATGGCCTCACCTGAGAATGTTTAGCAATTTCTGGGCAGATTGTCACTGCCTGCACAGGGTGACTGCACAAGGCACTGCTTTGAAAGCTTGTTTGCTTATTATTTAGGATTTTACTCAGTTTGGCTGTATTGTAGAAGTTGATATCACTTGGAATGATTTCCATCTCTAAATTATATTGGAGCCTAGAGTTACTGGGAGCTGCTCACCTGCTCAGTGTGTGGTTCAAGCTGTAAGGGCCCATCCTGTGTTTGTAGAAGTTTCTACAAGGAGGTAGAAACTGTGCTGTCAAGAACTGATGTTCTGGAATTGCACTGTTAGCATTTTTCTTCATTAGGAATTGATGTGTTGTGGCTTCTGTTAGACACGCTGCTCAGCAAAGTAAAAGTATTTAAACTGAAAAGAAATGGGTTTTTTTAGGCATGTATTTTGTGGGCCATGAGCATTTATTGGTTGCTTTTGTGAACATTGTGGCCCAGGACATAGAAATCCCTGCTGTGGACTGTGCTGACTGTGTATGAAAATGCAGCTATTGACAGATGTGTTTATTAAAGCAAGAGTTCCATCTCTTTCAAATTTGTACATCTCTTTCAAATTTGTGTTGATGTTGGATTCTACCAGCTGGTGCTGGTCCCTGTTAGCAATAATGTTAGGTGGGTCTGTGGAGACAGCTCTTTGTGCCAATCAAACTGAAACCCTCTTCACTTCTCAAGGACTAATTAAGTTCATTCTGCTAAGATTGTTTATTTGCTCTCCCAGTAAGTGGAGTTGATAGCAGGGTAATATTCTTAAGGCTGAATGGACATGTCAGTCTTTGCTTCTGTAGTGGGGAGAATGAGAGAAAAAGATGGTGAAAACCTTCTGATTATCCTTTTCAGGGACTTCTGCTTATAAACTAAGTTCATAACATTGTATTAAAATTTCCTGTGTGCCAGCACTTTTTTTTAGTGCTTTCAGTTTCAAATGTCAAAGCTATGCCTGATGTGCTGTTCTCATAGTAGGCAGAGCCATTTTTATTTTATTCCTAGTAAGAACATAGATTGCACAGCAGACATGGATGCTCCATTCCTGTTTTCACAGCAAATTTACTCATCCTTTAACTTCTTTTTGCCCCTAGGAAATCTATCACTGTCGGAGGGAAATAAAATACAGCAATGATAAGATGTGGTATCTGGCAAAACTGGTAAGCAAGGAGTACTTTGTACTGTACTTGAGAGAATGCAAAATTTAATTGCTGTATTTGTCTTAAAAGCCTCATTCAATCACAATTTAATGAGCACCTTCATAGCAGAGTCCTGGGGATGAGCATGGATCTGGACAGGGAATGGCTGTTTGTAGTTTGGTTTAGCTGCAAGGTATTAAATTGATGAAATTGTAATTAAGGAAATGACAGTATTTTTGTTTTTATAATACCAGTATAATTTAAATGTTGTCTTCTGAATAAGAGAAAGGAAATACTTGTAAAAGCAGAAGTTAATTTTAACACTTTGATTGCAGATAAAAGGAATGTCCATTGATCAGGCTCTCGCTCAGCTGGAATTCAGTGACAAAAAGGGAGCAAAGGTGATCAGAGAGGTAAATAGCAGTATTCTTTAAAACTCCTGGTTTCCAGAAAATTTTTAAAATCAATAGCTGTCACCAGAAGTTTGGAGGTGTTTCTACTTGTGTGAGTTTTTGTGTTTCAAGGTAGCCTGTTGGGAGCACATTCTAACAATGTATTTTTGTTGCAGTCATGTAATGTTGTGACTTATGAATATGTTGGGGTCAATTTTGCTGGCTGTTCTAACTTGACATGGTGATAAATTCCATGTGGGTGTCCTCTCTAGCAGTGCTTGGTGTTAAGTTCATTGTAAAAGGAGCAGAATCCTGGTCACTAATGGCTACATCTGTGTGCTTTTGTTCTTAAAATGTAAGAGATGAGGGACATTATTAAGGAGAGGACTGAGTTCTGTAAAGGCACAAAAGCTTTGAATACCCTGTGGTAGTTTGGATTCTCAAATTGCTCATTTCTTGGCTGAAGCATTGACTTCTGGTATAATTATGGCAAAGAAATGTCCTGTATTAGCTGAAAAGATTGAATGGACCAAGTTCATTTTGCCCACCTTGGAATTTATTTCTAGTCAGATGCCTGATTACACAGAGGTCCGTGGAGGGAAGGCTGACAAATGCAGGTGGAAACCATCTTTTCCACTCCCTTTCCTCCCCAAAAATCTAATAAAATTGTCCTGAGGCTTTTTCATTCTATGCAAGGAACATCTTCATGTAAAAGATGCTTGTCTTTTAACAGTTTTTATCTTCATAAAATACTTTTTCTATAACTGACTTAAACTTGCAATTTCTTTCATGTTATCTAGAGATAAGAAATAGCATTGCTTAAATTCCTCAGTATTTCCATTTCTTTACCTTTTGTTACAGGTTCTGTTAGAAGCACAGGAAATGGCTGTAAGAAAGCACAATGTGGAATTCAAATCAAACTTACACATAGGTACATTTTTTTAATTTAGTGCATTAGAAAAATGTCATCCTACTCTATCCTACCCTGTGAAAATGTGTTATATTTAATAAGATTTTCATGCTTGAAATCACCAGAAGTGAATAGAGGACAGTTTCTGCTAAACTTAACTTTACCAAAACATGAAAGGCACATGTTTGCAGCATTTTTAAGATGGATGTATCCATCTGAGAATGGAATTTCTCCTCCCTATTGAACAGAAAGTCCTGAAGAGGAAGATGCTTGACACAAATATGAAAGATTGGACAAGAAGCAAACAATTTCTAGTTTTTAATGCTGCCAGTCAGAGATGCTGGAAGCTTTGTCTGGGGCTGGTACAATTTGATTTGCAGGATCAAAGTTAAACTTCTATCAGACACAGTATAAAAAGTAAATGGGTAATGATAGTAAACTTCTTAATAAAAAGACTTGTCTGTAGATGATTTGCAGGATTAGCTTATAATAACTAAAGTGCTTTTTAGCCTAGAAAATGTTAGAGAAATGTTTACTCTTAGGTGTTTTGAGGCCCAAAGAAAAAAATCCCATTTTGTCTAATGGGGGATAAATTTTACTCAACTGACCTCATAAGCTTAAAGTCACCTGGACTGTAGAGAGATTTGATTAGAATTCTTTGGAGCCTTCCAGGCCTCTGCCACAAGAATGCTCAGCTGTAGTGCAGGACTGGATGTGCAGATAATGAAAGGACCTGTGATGAATGCAACAAAGGGAGAAAGGAGGGAAAATGAAGTCTGTAAGACTTTGCAGGAATTCATGAGACAAACTGCTGAAAGGCAGTGAAACGAATACCACCTTCAGAAGAGCTGTATAATCTAGTAAGTGCTCAGTGTGATTTGTCCTTCACCACATATTTATCTTCATGTGCCTGCTTTCTAAATTCCCCTTTTTGGCACTCCTGAAGAGCGTTAATGCAGCTCACGGGTTCCTCTGCAGCAGTGATCTGCTAAATGTAACAGAAGAAAGATGGAGGGGAGAATCCCAAGTAGAATTAACTTCCTAGAAGCAGCCATGAAAAATTCCCTGGCAAGGCAGGTGTTTTATTGCAGCTGTAGCAGTTTGTTCTTGCCTGGATGATCTTCTCCCCTGTCCTTCCTCCTGCAGCGGAGTCGCAGACGGGCAGGGGCCGTTACGTGAAGCGGCTGCGGTACCACGGCAAGGGCATGTTTGGCATGATGAAAATCAGCAGGTGCCACTACTTTGTGAAGCTGGTGGAAGGTCCTCCTCCTCCTCCAGAGCCACCGAGGACTGGCTTTGACCAAGCAAAGGAATATGTGCAGCAGCTGCGAAACAGAACCCTTGTTCACACGCTGTGACACGCTGCAGTGGCTGTATCATGTTGGGCAATGAAATTGTACAAAGGAATAATTAAAGTCATGGTTTAGTTGTTTCTTTGGTGCTGCTGGAGCTGGATGATGTGAGAAAAATTATGGGTTTTTCCTTATTTGTCAAGTGAAGAAATCTTGGGAGCAGCAGATGTTACTTTTTCTGAGTTACTTGGACCACAGTGTTCAAGCTCGACCCTGGACTGTCAAATCTAAAACATGGTGCTGTTATAAAGCTTGGTGTCTCTGCTGTGTATGGTGAGCCTTCTATTGTAAAACTGTGTGCTTGACAGTCATTCTGCAAGATCAAACCTCTAACTAAAATTTGACATCTTAAAGTAGTTACAGCATTGGAAGAAAACAAGTAACAGTGGACAAAACCAAGTAACAATAATATTTCAGAATATCAGACATCAATTTTTGGCTAATCTGGGCTGTAACAGCCTTCATTGTGTGTCTTGGGAATTGTGTCTGGGAGAGGGAAATAAAAAAATCCTTGGAAGTTCAGGCTTTGGCAGTCAGTAGGTGGCAATATTTAGTTTGTCAGAGAGGAGGTGGCAGCAAAAACTTCCAGAATGCTCAAACTGTTCTGGATTTTGCCCGTGGCATTAATAATCTGATACAGGCATGGAGTTCAGGCTGTTCTCTCTGGAAATTCATTGTGGGTAACAGGCAAAATATGGAGAAAAGCTTTTTTTGGTGCATAATTCTGCATTGTCTGGAAACAAATTGCTTTTGTAACAGTGAGGAAAGTGAAGCACTCCATGGATTTCATATGGAATGGCTTGTTGCATATACCAATCAGGCTTTCAGTTCTCTGAAAACAATCCCCTTTTTATCATTACTTCTTTGAAGAGAAGAAGACTGAGATTGGTAGGGGGAATCTCATTTCACTCAAGTCAGATTTTCAAATCAAGATGGTCAAAACTGATGAACATCAGCATAAAAACAGAATGAACAGCTGCTTGTACATGCAAATATCTGATATTTAGACCTTTATTTTCCATTCTGGGAACATTAGAGTGGGAGATACCTTGCTTACCTCACTTGGGTCTTTTTACTGCAACAACCCATGGTAGCTTTTCTTACATGTGTTTACTTTGATCAGTATTGGATGATGGGGAAGGGACAGTTCCTGTAAGGACACAAATTATTTTTATTGTCTTAACAAAGGTTGATACAGAGTGATTTCTTTTGGCTACCAAAGAAAGGGTTTCATGATGTTGAGAGTATTGGGGGACAGTGAAGTTACACAAGAAGCACATTGAGAGCTCAGTACCATCAATGGGGTACCATCAATTTGCAATCTGGTTCCCTGCAGTGCTCTTTCAAACACATTTCTTGCTGTAAAGCCACGATTTAGTAACTTGCCTGAAAGGTGTGTTCTGATAAAACTCTCTATCTCTGCAGTCCCTGATGTGTGTTTGAAGAACTGTTTCTGTTGTACTGTGATAAACAGCTGTGCTGGGCTCTGCCAGCTGCCCTTACACTCCTCTGTCACAGTGAATCTCTTACAAATTGTAGCAAACTTGAATTGTTTATAATCTTTTTGGGGATCACTGATCTGGGAGAAGACTAAAGAATTGCAAAGTAATCCAAGTTTAATAAACACTCACATATTATGCTTAGAGACATGTAAATATCTAAAGCCTGGCTTCTAGGTATTCCAGTACCTATTTCTCCTGCATGCTGTAGAATTTGCTTCAGATCCTTTCTGGACCTCAAGAGAAGGCTGTATCCTTAGAGATATCATTACTCTGGTTATGAATCCACAGACAGAGAGAGAAGTGAGAAGATTTATATCCCAGCTTTATGATTTGCAGGTGGCCCTGAAAGTCCTTTAAACAAACACACCTGGGCTTTAAACATTTTTCAGTTAAAAAGCAAGGTTGTTGCTTGTTCTTGTTTTCTTCCTCAAGACATTAAGTGTGAAAATTCATTTTTGGCATGTTTTTAGTATTCTTCTGTGCCTTGGTAGCATTTTCTGCTGTCTTAAACATGCATCACCCAGAGCTGATCTTTATGGTGCTGGCTAAGGAAGCTCCACAGCTGTGTCTGTGACAGGAGTGATGGGAGATGGGGTGAGGTGAGGAGCTGGCTTGGTCCCTGCTTTCCCTGGTAGGATGGTAAGAATGTCTGGAGTGGTTTCTGTAGTAAATCCATCAGAATGCTGGGAACTGAACCTTTTCCAGTTCAGTAAGATCTGTCTAAAGTGATAGCTTTATACTGGCAAGTACTACATATATTTGTATATTTATAAATTTTAGAGATTTGATTCTACTTTGCTTTCATGGTAATTAGTACATCTGCACCTCAGTTAGGTATTTGGTACAGGTTTAGACACAAAAGTCCATGCTAACTGCAGTAAGCCTTTAGCAGATCATTTATTATAAAAGAATGTTTTAAAATGAACTGTCACCAAAAGAGATGGAGAGGCACTGAGGCCTCTACTTGGTGCTGATTTCATGAGTAACATCTGGGGGCACTGTAAACTCACCACTGCTGTGTGTGCTGCTGGTACAGAAACAACAAGTACATGTGAAGGTGTAGTGAGGCTTCAGGGAAATCTGAAGAGAGCAGAGCTGTGAGCTCTGCTCAGCAATGTGAGATTTAACTGGGGAGAAACTTGTAACCCTGCTGTTGGGCTTGTTCATAAACATTTTGAGGTACCCAGTGAGAAGGTGGAACTACTTTAGTCAGGCAGCCTGATATCTTTATGGATGTGTGTGTGCTTGTTTGTTTTTTCCTTTTTAAGACTTATGGGCAGTTATTAATGAGGTGGTTCATCCAAGGCAGAGTAAGAAAGGCCCATGATTGTAGTTACAAAATTATTATCATCCTTTTTTAAACATGGAAGATAAATGAGAGTGTGAGAATCAGTGACTGGACAGTTGGGTACTGCTGGTTCTGGCCAGGTGTGTGCTGGGAACTGCTGTGGTGAGCTGGGTTGGCATTAGGGCTGTGCTGCTCCCTGGGCACTGGCAGGTGTGTTCAGTGACACAGGTGACAGCTGTGTTCAGTGACACAGGTGACAGGTGTGTTCAGTGACACAGGTGACAGCTGTGTTCTGCCCAGTGCTTCGGCTGTGTTGCTGTACCTGCTGTGAACTTGGCTCGACCAAGGTTGTGCAGTACAAGTCCTGTGATTCCCTGCTGGCACAAGCAGGAGCTGTGTGACCGTCCTGTCTCCTCTGCACCTCGCTGCCACTTGGGAAATCCTTCAGTCACTGGAGTGAAGGAACAATAGGAATCACTGCTTCCTGCCAGTCCCTATGAGAATCCACTGCTGGGATGCTGGAAAGTAATTTGCAAACACAATTCTGCTTTGAATAGAAGTGAGGTTACTCCTAATGTCCTCAGTGAACCACAGAAACGGAGTGTGACATTCCCCAGCATATGAGCTACAGTCCTGCTGGAAAGACCCCTAGTTCAGGCTCTTTAAAGAACAAGCCTTTATTCCTGAATGACATATATCCAGCAGCACTTCAGCCATGTAATTTAAAATAATTAAAAGCTAAACAAAGAGACTATAATGGCAGAAATAATCACACAAGTTGCTGTTTGCTGGAGACTTACATGGCGAAAATAACTTGAGGAGAAAGTTTTGAGGATTGACTTTTGAGTACTTAGACTGAAGTAAGGAGCAAGATATCTCTTGGGAATAGTCAGTGAATGCAGAGCTCATTTTGTATTTACTCTGTGGCATCAACACTCTCTGCTTGTCTCAAGGAAGTTGTGCATTAGTACAGAGGGCAGGCTGCCATTGAAGGGAACGAGCCAAGGAGAGCCTAACTCTACCTTGGGCAAATTAGACATTCACCTCAAGAGTATTAGCTGAGGAAATTAACCTAAAAGTTGACACTTGAAAACAATGACAAAATGTGGGGCAGAGCATCTGAATTAACTTCTGCACCTCTGGGTGGTGCTTGTGGGTATTGCACAGCAGTGCAGCCATCAAGGGTTGTGTGGTAAAGGACCTGTGGCACCCATGGTCCAGCTCTCAGTGCTGTTCTGTTTACACTCCTTTACTGCTGGGAATTTGTCTGCTAGTGGGTGACAATTTTCTATCCTACTAGAAAAGTTGCAAACCAGTTTTCTGTCTTCTGTTATTAATCAAACTCTGATGCCAGCTAAGAGTGGAGTAAAGGCATTTGTACATGCTGTTGTGGGAAACTCCATTCATGTGTGCAGCTAATAAGCTGGGAAATGTGTCTACAACTCTCCTATTGATTATCACCTTCAGAGCAAGATAAACATGGGTCCTTACTGTATGCTGGCTGTGTAAATTAAAACTTTATTTAAATGGAAGCAGAGTGAGATGCACTGCACTAGGCCAGTACAGGATTGTTGTACAAAACCAGCTCCTCTAGATGCCCAGTTCCTTCCCTTCTTTTTTCCCCCCTTAGGATTCCCAACAGTGCATTAAGATGAACTCAGTAGTTAGTAAATTTTCCCCTGTGTAGTTTACAAGCTCAAGGTTATGGGCTAGAACAAGTAGTGTCATGCTATAAATCAGGTGTAATGGAACAGCTTGGGAGAGTGCACAGGAGTCCTTCCCCTCACACTGTGTTTGTCCAAAAAACTCTGAAGGGGGAGCTGGCACGAGCCCAGAAACCCCCACAAGTGGCTGATTAAATAATTAATAATAATCCTCGTGCTGCTGCCCTCTCTCTTGACAGGTGAATGTGGCAAGACAGTTTTCATTTTCTAGACCAAGGTGTATCTAGGGAAATTTGAGTGTGAAACAACCAGAACTGAGATGCCCTTAAGAGAGGAAGGTGGATTCCAAAGTCATCGAAGGGAAGGGGCAAAATTATTTGAAACTGTGGTTTACTTTGAGCTTACTGGAGTCAAGAGCAAGAATCAGAAGTCTGGTGCAGTTACACCTCTCTTACCTCCAAAAGTCAGTGGAAATTTCTGAGATCAGGGCAATACCAGCTGAACTATTGGCTGAGTAGCCAGAAGTGTCTGCATTTGTCTCTAGTATGTCACACTTCATAGCAGAAATTCCCAGCTGTTCTCATCAAGTCTGAGGTGTTTCAGAGATACTCTTCATTTTTCTTTTG